CTCCCCCCAGCCCCTCCCCCATCAGGGCGTGGCCGTGGGGGCGGGGCAGCGATCGCGCGGCCATGGCGGTGTTGGGGTACTGGGACATCCGCGGGGTGAGTGGGGACCCGCCACCCCCTGGGGACACCCCCGCGCGGGGGGGAGGGGACTGCGGGGACCCCAGAGGGGGGTCCGGGGGTCCCCTGCGCTTTCCGGGGGGATTTAAGGGGTCTTCGAGGCTCCGCACGGTTTTTGGGGGGTTGCGGAGGGTCCCGGGGGTCCCTTTGGTCTATCGGGGACGTTCGGGGGGTTTGTGGGGTCCCTTCTGGTTTTGGGGGCGGGGCTCTGGCGGTTCCGCTGCACCCTGGGGAGGGGGGGTCTGCGGGGGTCTGCGGGGTTCGCTTTTGGTTTGGGGGGGCTGTGGGGACCCCTCGGAGCTTTTAGGGGGCAGCGAGGGGTCCTCGGGGGTCCCGTTTATCTTGCGGGAGGCTGTGGGAGGTCCCCTTGGGATTGTGGGGTGTCTTCGGGGGTCTCCCCTGGCTTCTGGGGATTTGTGGGGAGTCTTCAGGGGTCTCCTGTGTCTTTTGGGCAGGTTGTGGGGGTCCCTCTGGTGTTTTGGGGGAGGCGGCTCTGGCCCCTCCTCCTCCGCCCCCGCTCCTCATTAGCACATTCCTAAGGAGCTCTAATGAGGCCTCCTCATTAGTCTCTGGGGGGACCTCAGGGGGTCACCCTTGGGGGGCTGCACTGGGTCTGTGGGGGTCCCTCTGGTGTTTTGGGGGGTCTTGGGCTGTCCCCCTAACCTTGGGAGGAGCTGTGGGAGCCCCTCTGGTCTTTGGGGGGTCTGCAGGGCCCCTCAGGTCTTTTGGGGAAACTGTGGGAGGTCTCCTTGATCTTTGGGGATGCTCTGAGAGACGAACTGTGGGGTCGGTCTGGGGTGAACTGTGGGGTCGGTCTGGGGTGAACTGTGGGGTCGGTCTGGGATGAATTGTGGGGTCGGTCTGGGATGAATTGTGGGGTTGGTCTGGGATGAATTGTGGGGTCCTGCTGCAGTTGTGGTGGGAGGATGTTGCTTCTGGGGGGTTCCCCTGTGCAGGGGGTGCTCACTGGGGGCACTGGGAAGGGGTGCAGTTTGCCCTCCCCGTGCCTCAGTTTCCCCATGTGTGAGGCAGTTGCAGGTTCACGTTTGGGGGGTGTTTTTGGGGTGTCTGACTGATCCCACTCCCCAGCTCGCCCACGCCATCCGCCTGCTCCTGGAGTACACGGAGACGCCCTATGAGGACAAGCTGTACAGCTGTGGGGAAGGTGAGGGGGGTCAGGGGGTCCCCACACCATCCTCAGCCTCTTTTGGGGTTTTTGGGGCAGATCACCCAAACCTCTTCCCTTGCAGCTCCTGACTACGATAAGAGCCAATGGATCAACGAGAAGGAGAAGCTGGGCCTTGACTTCCCCAACGTAGGTGTCTGGAGCTGGGGGGCTGGGACTGGGGGGGTCTCGCTGTCCCGGTGTCCCCATGTCCCTCTGTCCCCTCCAGCTGCCGTACTTCATCGATGGCACCACCAAACTGACCCAGAGCAACGCCATCCTGCGCTACATCGCCCGCAAGCACAGCATGTGTCAGTGCGGCTGACAGGGGCTCAGGGGGCTGGAATTGGGATTGGAGTGGGGCTGGAGGGGGATCTGGAATTGGGATTGGAGTGGGGGCTGGAGGGGGATTGGAGTGGGGCTGGAGGGGGATTGGAGTGGGGCCTGGAGGGGGATTGGAGGGGTGCTGGAGTGAGTTTGGAGTGGGGTTGGAGTTGGGATTGGAATTAATTAGGGTTTGGTTGGGTTGGGGTTGGATTAAAGTTGGGGTTGGAGTAGGGTTGGAATTGGGTTGAGGTTGGAGTAGGGTTTGTCTTAGGGTTGGGTTGGGAGCTGGAGCTGGAGTAGGGCTGGGGATGGGATTGGAGTAGGGTTGGAATTGAATTGGGGTTCCGTTGGGCTTGGTTTGGGGTTGGAGTTGGATTGGGGCACAGGCTGGAGTGGGGGTGAGCGTGGGGCTGGAGTTAAAGGGACCCACAGGCAGCAGCAGGGCTGGCGTCAGGGAGGGTTTGGGGCAGCAGGGCTGGCGTCAGGGAGGGTTTGGGCCCCCAGTGCTGACCCCCCTGTGCAGGTGGTGAGACAGAGGAGGAGACCCTGCGTGTGGACATGCTGGAGAACCAGATCATGGACTTCCGCATGAGCCTTGTCATGGTCTGCTACAACCCTGACTTTGTGAGTGTCCTGCAGGCTGGGGGACCCTGTGCCAGCATTGGGGACCCCATATTGGGAGGGTGCTCCCCAGGGTGGCAGGCTGGGGCCCATCCTCACCCCTTCCTTCCTCCTTCCTCAGGAGAAGCTCAAGCCGGGCTACCTGGAGCAGCTCCCGGGGAAGCTGAAGCTCTTCTCCAACTTCTTGGGGGACAGGAAGTGGTTTGCAGGGGAGAAGGTACTGCCAGGACTCCCGAGGGGGCTGAGGGGCTGGGGAGGGGGTTTGTCCTCACTGTGTCCCCCGATGTCCCCAGCTGACCTTCGTGGACTTCCTCATGTTCGACGTGCTGGATCAGAACCGCATCTTTGAGCCCAAGTGCCTGGAGCCCTTCAAGAACCTCAAGGACTTCATGGAGCGCTTTGGGGTGAGCAGGGGCACCCCGAGGCCACCCCTGGGTGGGGGCTGCCACGGTGGGGGCAGCCCTGACACCCCGTGTGTGTCCCCAGGCTCTGGAGAAGGTGGCTGCCTACTTGAAGTCCAGCCGCTTCCAGAAGATGCCCATCAACAACAAGATGGCCAAGTGGGGCAACAAGAAGTTGTAGGAGCTCAGCACGAGGCTCAGAGGGTGGGGGGAGCCCTAACCCAGACCTTCCAGCACCCTCCATCCTTGGGGGGGGGCACAGCACCACTGGCATGACACCCCCCAAGACAATAAAATCATTTTTAGATGTGGCACCCTGAGGTCCCCACAAGCCTTGTGGTGTTGGGGGGGCACTGAGGTGGCCCCGTGGTTGGGGGTTGGTGGGTGAGGGGGGGGTCTCTGCCCCATGGGGCCCAGTCCCGGCGTGGCTGGCTTGGTCCGGGGCCCGAGCTCAGCCCGGAGCTGTTCCCAGGGCTCTCCCTCTTGCCCTGGGAAAGGGAAAGGAGCCCGGAGCCTCGAGCCTTGCTTCTTCCCTCTTCCCGCCCCCGCACCTCATTAGCACATGCCTAATGAGCTCTAATGAGGCAGCCCTGACAAAGGCCTGGGGAGGGAGCTTTGGTGCCCTGCCACCCACTCAAGGTGCGGAGCGGGGTGGGCTGGGGACAGCCCTGTCCCCTGCGGCCCCTTGCTGCCATCAGCCCGCAAAGATGGGGCCAGGAACGTGCCTTGGGTGCTGCGGGGGTGGAAATGCTGCGTCCCCCTCCCTGCCCTTGTCCCTCTCCCTGCCCTGTCCCTATTCCCCCATTCCCCTTGTTCCTCTCCCTGCCCCCGGGGTGCCCTCCAGGCTCTGCACACCCCACTGCTGTCACTTTTATTTTCCACATCAGTCGCTTTACATTTTGGGGGTGCGAAGTCCCTTCACAGCGCCTGAGCCCACCGAGGGGGGTGCCTGCCCCCCTCCCTCCTTTGGGGGGGGGCGTTCTCTAATTTCAAGGAGTGATTCTGTGTCTTGGGGGGACAGGTGGGATGCGGGGGGTGGGTTCGCCCCCAGGTCCAGCCGTTCCCAGGGTGCTCCATCCGGGGCGGGGACATGATGGGGACATCGGCGTGGCCTCGGTGGCTCAGTCCCTGGGACCGATCTGCAGAGAAGGGGAGCTGGGGTGGGGGTACGGGGGTGGGAGTGCCTCACCCCCAGGGATGTCCTGATGGGGGACAGCTTGAAGAGGACCCTGCGCCACTCCTCGGGACAGACACCTCGCAGCTCGGCCGGGCTCATCTGCAGCAGCTCGTGGCCCCGCAGCACGCCCAGGGTCCGCACCGTGCTGCGGGGCGGGCACGGTGAGCCGGGCTCCCTCCGGCCCCAAAGGGACCCGGGCGGGCTCTGGGGGGGAGGGGGCTCAAGGGACCACCTACATCCGCGAGAAGCCCTTGTCCATCAGCCAGGCCGTCACCTCTGCCGGCGAGGAGCTGGGGTGCAGGCTGGGGGGACTGTCCTGGAGCGGGGACAAAGGGAGGGGACATCGCGGTCACCCCGTCCTGGTGGCGGGCGCGGGGAAGGGAGGGGTGAGGGGTCTCCCACCTGTCTGGCGCTGTGCCCCAGCTCCGGGACGGGCTCCAGGATGTTGCCAGGGACGTGTCCCCTGTCCCCCCGCTCGTCCTGCACCAGCCACCACTTCCTCTGCTGGTCCAGGACCTGGGGAGGTGACAAGGGGGGCAGCGTGGAGGGCCGGGCCTCGGGGTCCCGACTGCGTCCTCCCCACGGGCCCCGCTCCCACCTGCAGCGTGTCCCCCTTCCTGACGCTCAGCTCCTGCGAGTTCCGGGCCTGGAAGTCGTACAGGGCTCGGACCAGCCCCCGGGCAGGGAGCGGGGACCTGGGAGTGGGCAGCGGGGGGATCAGTGCCCGCTCGGGGGCACTGCCCCGACCCTCCGCACGTGCAGGGGCAGGGGGACACTTACTCTTGGCCGGGATGGTCCCTCCAGCCGGTGGCCGGTGCCTGTGCGGGGGACAGGGACGGGGAACGGCGTCGCGGGTGAGCTGGGGAAACTGAGGCAGGCGGTGCGGTGTCCTGGAAGCCCCCGCGGCGCTCCTGCTCCATCACGGGGGGCAGCCACCCGTCCGAAAAAACCGGGGTGTACGCGGGCACCAGGGCGCCGTTGGGGTACTCGGCCCTGCAACATCGGGGCGGGGCACGGCGGCGGTGGGCGCTGGGACCCCCCTCAAATCCCAGACCCCCCTTTCTCGGTGTCGGGGGGCTGGAGCCCACCTGGACTTGTTCCAGGCGGTGCCGAGGCTCTTCCAGACGCCGTAGTCGTCATCGCCCAGGTTCTCCTCGAGGAAGTCCAGCGCCTCGGGCAGCAGCAGCGGGCTCTGCACGGCCGCGGCCAGCCCGGGGCTGGGGCAGTGGTCAAGGACCTGCAGGGACGGGCATGGAGCAGCACCCCCAAACACCCGCCGGATGGGGCGGTGAGGGGTGATCCCCCCCGTGTCACACATTCCGGGGGGTGGGACCCGCTCGGGGGGCACTCACGAAGGACAGAGCTGAGAAGATGAGGCGCAGCAGCTCGGAGGGAGCGGGGTCCGTCACGTACCGGTGGCTCCGACCCTGGGGGGGGGAAGGTGTCCCAGTGAACCCCCCTGTCCTCACACAGCCCCAAGGAGCCCCCCAGCCCACCCACACCTCTCATCCCTACGCAGACCCTTGTCCCTACATGGCTCCTCCACCCCACAGAGCCCCCCAGCTCACCCACACCTCCCTCGCCCCGTGCAGCCCCTCCAGCCCGCACAGCCCCCCACTCCTAACCCCACGGCCCCCATCCCCACACAGCCCCACTCCCCACATTCCCATGCAATCCCCCACCCCCACACCCCCCCCCCCCCCCCCCCCCCCCCCCCCCCCCCCCCCCCCCC